GAGAGCAATTCCCAACCGGCTTAGCGCATTTGCGATTCTCTTGGTTTGCTTGCGTATACCGCTCTCTTAAAATGATCTATTTGTGTGTAGCCGTCCGCCCTATATGTGAAGGCTTTTAATGTAGCCTAGCACTTCCAAGGCGTTTTGTTCCAAATTTCAAATGGATTAAGTGTAGCACCGCCCAAGTTATCTAGTCTGTGCTTGGAAAGAGTATCACATTCATTGAAGGACAGATACATCCTTTGAGTTGTCACTGCCCTGGACTATCCAACCAATGCCTGTTGGACATTTTGTCTACCCAGTTTATTATGATCCCCTTTATGTTATGGGCTTTGGTTAGCCCACGAAAGGGTTAACGTCCATAAAATACTGCGATAGCGCCTTGTTTCGCTAGGCAGTCACCCTATCCATTATGTGCACGAATCCCCGCTGGTACCGATTTTTTGAAGTCCGATCCTAATACCGTTTTCAAATGTAGGTCCATCTGTGTAGTTTTGGTGTATGGTTTCCCTGCTTTCCTAAAAATTGCCGTATAATAAGTAATCTACTTTGAGCCGAGATGCTTTTGTTTGAAAGTTATTTTAACCAACTCTGGACTTTCTTGAACAATTTCATTTCCTGTGAACTTATGTTCATAAACAATATGCAAAATATGCCGGAAGTAAAGTTACAGTCAGTTCATCATCTTAAACAATGAAACTATGACCAATATGCTTTCGATTGCCTTTCACCAGCATTTGCATTTTGCCGCATTTTTTTGAGACATTTTACTACAATTTTGTTGCTATTATTTATTTTGCTATTTTAGGGCACAGGTGTTCGACGACGTTAGTGTCTTGAAGTTTGCCTTTTTTTGCTCGACCCATTCTTCCTCTTTTTCATGCCGCTTGCTTGAAAGTGAATTTTTATGGCGAGCAGCAGCACATTAAAATTCATTCAACTCTACTCTATAACGCGCACTGTTGCATTTTGTGGCAGTTGCCGTCTAAGCATTTTCATGCCTACATTCATACAAATACACATGTGTACATACAAATATATATCGCAAATTTCCGTGCGCTTTCGGCAGCGGACGGCCCTTAAATGGCGACAGCAGCCAGCCATTTCGCAAGCAACTAAATTGACGAACAGCTGGATGGCTGTTGAATGCAACTGACAACACCTTCCACCATCGGCCGCCAACGCCACCAGCAGCAGCAACAAACGCCTTTTGCTAGGTGCATACATATACACATGTTTCTTCATAAGTATTTGTGTTTGTTTGTTTGTGTATGTGTCGTTATGCCGCCCTCGGCGCACTAAAATGCACAATGCGTGGACTCATTGCTCCACATATTTTTCGTAGTTTTCCGCTTCTTTTTTGTCTCTTAGTTATTTTTGATATTTTTCTCTTATAATTTTTGTGTCTTTTGGGCCTTTAATGCTGCTACAGTCGCGCGCGCTGCAGATATGTTTTTCTCAGCGTTTTTTGTTTTTCTTTTTTTATGTGTAAATGCTTTTGGCAATTAAATGCAACCCACTTTTGGTCGCTAAAAATACAACTAACGAAAATAACGTGAGCTAATGTATGAACGAGTGTGTCTGCATTTGGGTTATGAATATTAGCGGCGGCAAAAATGTTCACTGCTTTGTATTGAAAAAAGAAGCCGTTACGAAAATATGTATATAGTACTTTAGTGCAGTCAAAAGCTTTTATTTCCTGCTTCTAAAGTTTCTAAGTCGCGATGGCGTTAAGGAGGAGATATGCACATCTAATCTGGACTAAGGCAACAAGAATTCGCACTACAGTTGCCTTCACAGTCCTTCCCTTCCCTCATCGAGAGCCGATTGGTAGGGTCTCTGGATACATAATTTGAACACCCATTGCACCAAAATTCAACGCATAGCTGTAGTAGGTGTTTTCTCTGACTTGCTGGAAGTGGGAAAATAAATTCGTCTGCCAGACGTTTGTGTTGTCTTTCGAAGTGTAGTACATATGCATTTGCACTAACCCACTTTCAAACTTCCTTTTCTCGGACCTTCGGGCAACAGCTATGTCTCTGCTGTCCTCCACAATAAAGTCGAAGCTTGCCGGTTGAAGAGCGAAAGAGTATTTTCCATAAAGCTAGTAATTGGTTTGAACTAGACTTAGGTTGTGGCCTTCGTTCTCGCAACATTGAACGCGTGCTAGAATCAGTTTCCACTCTTAATCGGAAACACTCATGTTTATACATGAGCAGTCTATAACGGTTCTAGAGCTGGACTAAGCGGATTTGTACTCAGCTTCGCCTAGCTCTGTGCTCCCATCGTGATTTCTAACCGCAGACCAAATACAATTCTTTTTTTTTTGACTGAGCCTGACCAAAGTACTCGCTTATACATGGAAAATTTTGTCAAGCCAAATATTTTTTCCTTTCGCAGTTGCTCGTTTCATTTACACAGCATTTTTTTTTATATGGAACTATAGTTTTCTCGTTCCCTACAAACTTCGAGTTGCTGCAATAAAATTTGCCTCGTATAACGAAAGATGTGTTTCATAAGTCAAAGTTTTGATACTTCGAAGGGCATATTCAATTAAGAGCATCTTCATTGGTTGGTGGTTAGTCCTAAGCGGCTTGTAGTAGTGCTTGGTTTCCTATTACAGGGTTTCAGTTGTTTTTCGATTATCTAGTAAAGCCCCTCTTTACTGCTGAAACTTACTCTCTGGCTTATTGAGTCTACATTCATGGGGCCTCGACCTCTCGTGAGCTCTCTAGTAGCTTATTGATCTCCTGTTCTGGCTCTTATCATGGTTGAATATCATCTACATACATATGTATATTTTAATAGCTTTTAAAATAAAAATCCCAGAAGTTTAATCAAATCTTTTTAATTTTACTTTCAGTTTCCCCCAATTATGAAAAATCAATGTGAAAAAAGTAGCGAAAGTGAAGTTCTAGGCAAAGTGAGTTAAAGGAGCGGTTCGGTCGCATGCTTCAGTTCGGTTTCATTCGATTGCGATCGCTAAGCGAGGGAAGAAATATCACGTGTGGTCGTCGTCGCTGTTTTAGTGGGCATACGAACGCAAAGTGATTTGATAATAAACAATTAAAAGGAAATTTAAATAAAAAAGCAAAAAATAAGAAAATTGAAATTAAAAAATGAAACAAACGTTTCAAAAGCATAAGAAAGAAAGGAAATAAGAAAATTAATAAGTAAATTTATTGAAATTTGTAGAGCTAAAGAAATCTAGAAATGAAAGTGTGTATAGTATGCATAAAGCGTGTAAAGAAAAAAGCTGTCTCAATACGCCATTGTGCAAAATTGAATAAAATAAGTGAAGTGCTTGTGAAATAAGTGTTTTTTCCGTCGCGCGCTCGAGAAATATGCAATGTTTATGTTTCCAAATCGAATACTAATTTTTTCCTGCATGACTCCAGATTCATGGAAAAAGGTCCACAAATGCTAGCGCGCCGTAAAGGAGTGGTAAAGGTGAGTGGTTCCATTGTTATTGTTCACGTACAATATGGTATTTTATATATATATATCCGACAATCTTTGCCTCTAAACTATCCAAGCGATAATTTCGTTACCTTTGTGGCATAAATTTCTATTTTTTTTTTTTGAGGCCTGTGGAAGAACCGTAGACATTTACTGACATTTTCGCTATCCTGATTGTTAAGGAATGCCTCTCATCCATTCTAGGGACACTTCACTCCTTTGCCTAGCCATTCATTCAATCATTAAAACCTATTGACATACATATATTGAGTTGTAAATGATACGGTTACCGGTTCAGGACCAAGGGAAACAAATTTCCCAAAAATTTATTCCATTTTTAATTTTCAACAAAAGGAGGAGGTTATCAATTCGTCGGAATATTTTTTTATGTATGTTACCGCATAAGTTTGAACCACGTCGACCGATTTCGATTTCTATCGGAAAGGTGGTGCCTCAAGGGTGGTCCCATACTGATATGGTTTAGATCCGATCATTGGATCATGAAGAAATTAAAGGTACCTACTCCTAAATTTTAAGATGAGAATTGAAGTCGAAAAACTGCTTGTTAGTTTGTGCTTTTATCAAACAATTTTAGGAAAAAATAAATTTTCAAAGTAAGATTTTTTTTTGTGAAAATTTTGTTTTAAGAAAACATTACTTTTATGAACGAAAAAAAACAAAATTTAGGAAAAAGTACGGTTTTTTGGGAAAGAAATATGTTAGCCAAAATTAAAAAAAAAATGCCAACATAAGAGACAAAAATTTTTTGGAGAATAAAATTATTTTTGCAGTAAATTTATGTCGCGAAAATTTGTTTTTAATAATAAGTAATAATTTTTAAGGATAAAAATATATGGGAAATAAGTAGTTTTGAGGGAAAAAACATTTAAGGGAAAGACTATCTTTATACGATTTTTTTAGAAAATTAAAAAAAATAATGGCTACCAAAATTATAAAAGCTTATGTACGAAAATTTTATATGCGGGCAAAAACTTATTTCCTTAGGGAAAAACCAATATGCACATTTTTGAAAAAATTTGGGGAAATCGCGTTTAAAACAAAATTAGAATATTGTTTTGGAAAAAAATATTTTATTGGAGAAAATTATGAGATTAACGAAAACTTTTTGGAATAATAAAATTAATGAAGTTTAAAAAACAGTTTTGAAAAAAGGCTAACGAACATTTTTTGGAAGAAAATAGTTAGGAAACAATTATTTTTAATTTAAATTAATAAAAGCTATTTAAAAAAGAATTATTTTTACATTGAAATCTTATATACGACATTTTTTTATTCAGCTTTTGATGAATAAAATTTTACAATTCAAACCATTAGTTTTTTATTTTAGGTCCTGAGAGGGTTAAAATTCATGCAAATTTCGATATACATAAATAATTGTGTACTTGTATACATATGTACATACTCATGTATGTCTGTAAATTTCCTAGCACTTTTATTTATCGCAACCACATTCGTACAAACCGTTGTTTTTGATTTTGTGATGAAAATTTGGGTCAGTTATTTTTGTTGACTTCACTCACCTTTTCGATAAAACTATCCAGCAAACCGGATTAGCTGCTCTACAAATCGTCTGACCTGAAAATTAAAAGAGAAAAAACTTGTGTTGAGTGAAATTCCACATTAAATTTTTGGCATTTGATATTTATGAAAATTCATAGTTATTGCAACGGCCGCCAAAAATTCCCTCTGACCGTTACATTCCCCCCGAAACTGCACTACAACACCTAGACGCCTCGTACTCCCTCTCTCTCTCTATCTCCACACATCTTCCACCAGCCAATAAGAATGCGAATGCAACTGATTGGCGTCTTTGGCAACAGCTCACTGCGGCCGGACGTTGCACATTGCCGTTGAACGCTTTCACAAGTCCAGCGCGCGCATGCCACAAATTTCGAAATGCGATTGCAATCACAATTGCGCACACAAAAAGCCACGTCGTACACAAATTAAGTGGATGTAAACGGCAGGCGGACATAAAAATAATAACACGGCCAGCAACAACAATGACAGCAACAGAAAAACTTATTACTTAGCAAAAGGCAACAACTAACACTGAGGCGCATTGCACTGGCTCGCTTGCGCGTTGTTGCACTGGTGCGCTTTTCGTTATGCCGCCAACGTTTCGTCGGTTTCAATGCAATGCAAATGAAATTGCACTTTTCCGAAAAAGGATGCCGATAACAAAAAAAACAAAAACAACAGCCGCAGCGGAGAGTCGACAAAGCAAGCAAGGCGCACTGCACCAAATCGAATCACATTGATTGGCCAAACGAAAATTCAAATTGAAATCAGCAAACAGAATTGGCAAGCAGAGTCAGTGAGCAGCCAACGGCTGGGGAAGCGGCCAACGAGCAGCGCGGTTATCGACGCATTAATTTTCTGTGGTAAGTTGAAAACTGCAGTTGCTGTTGGCATGTTGCAAGTCGCATCGGAAATTATAAGGCCATTGTCTGCCATATTTGGGGGCGCTGCGCCGCTTGATTGCCGCATTTTTCAGCGCTAAAGCAACAAAAGCAATAGCAGCGGCAGCGATGGCTATTTGGCAAGTTGGCTAAGCGGTTGGTTTAGTTGTTGTCGACTGCCATTAGTTGGTGTTGGCGGTTTTTCGCGTTTTTTTGGTGGGCGCAAATCAGCTGCACCAAATCGCGGTTAATTCAATGAAAAGTGCTTTGAAAATCGAGCGACACATTTACATTTGTTGTTGGGCGGCGTATGGCCGGTGGGTTGTGGGGCTGTGGGGTTTGGGCTGCAGGCGGTTTGCAAATTTGGCGCAGTAATTGCATGCCAGATGTGTGTGTGCCAGTTTACTTAAGTCATAATTGCGGTATATGGCAAGTGCGCATGCGTGCCGTCGTCATCACTTCAAAATCGACGAACTGTAATCGTTGCTGATTTTTTCTCGACATTCCAGCGAGTAATTAGCAGTTACAAAGAAAACGTGATAGCTGGCGAGAAGCGTGAGCAAGTGACGAAATCGAAGTTGAGTTTGGGTTGAGATTGCAGCTGAATTTTGAGGATGTGGCTAATTTAAGTTAATTGTCTTCGCTGAAATCAGAAATGCTTTGGTTAGCATAGGTTAGTAGAGAACGGGCCTGTCATGAACCACTACTTAGCATTAACGAGCGTCGAAAGCTTGCATGGCCCAAGGGCCAAAAGGTGTTTCGCTTCAAACGCCATAAATATGTATAGCACTTGTCGTCCTGGGTTCAAGTTTTTGAGATCTCAGCGATATCTCCGAGCTGTCACCATTATAGAAAGCAAACACTTCTACCTTCAAAATAAGACAAATGCAATGATCTTCTCACTTTCATGTAGGTATAAGAAGTACATATGTAGCTTTCTGTCCCGGTTATGCCTCGGCTTTAGTCTGTATGAAGTAAATTTCCTAGCAGGCTGNTTTTTCTCGACATTCCAGCGAGTAATTAGCAGTTACAAAGAAAACGTGATAGCTGGCGAGAAGCGTGAGCAAGTGACGAAATCGAAGTTGAGTTTGGGTTGAGATTGCAGCTGAATTTTGAGGATGTGGCTAATTTAAGTTAATTGTCTTCGCTGAAATCAGAAATGCTTTGGTTAGCATAGGTTAGTAGAGAACGGGCCTGTCATGAACCACTACTTAGCATTAACGAGCGTCGAAAGCTTGCATGGCCCAAGGGCCAAAAGGTGTTTCGCTTCAAACGCCATAAATATGTATAGCACTTGTCGTCCTGGGTTCAAGTTTTTGAGATCTCAGCGATATCTCCGAGCTGTCACCATTATAGAAAGCAAACACTTCTACCTTCAAAATAAGACAAATGCAATGATCTTCTCACTTTCATGTAGGTATAAGAAGTACATATGTAGCTTTCTGTCCCGGTTATGCCTCGGCTTTAGTCTGTATGAAGTAAATTTCCTAGCAGGCTGTGACGGGCAAATGGGAATGAAACCGTTCATTCTTCGCTTTCATAAGCCTTACTGATAGGAATAAAAAGCAAATACTTAGTATCCCTGTCGCTCTAGGCCGTTCTCTGTGGTGGACTAAAATGTCNGTGACGGGCAAATGGGAATGAAACCGTTCATTCTTCGCTTTCATAAGCCTCACTGATAGGAATAAAAAGCAAATACTTAGTATCCCTGTCGCCCTAGGCCGTTCTCTGTGGTGGACTAAAATGTCANTCCTGGGTTCAAGTTTTTGAGATCTCAGCGATATCTCCGAGCTGTCACCATTATAGAAAGCAAACACTTCTACCTTCAACATAAGACAAATGCAATGATCTTCTCACTTTCATGTAGGTATAAGAAGTATGTAGCTTTCTGTCCCGGTTATGCCTCGGCTTTAGTCTGTATGAAGTAAATTTCCTAGCAGGCTGTGACGGGCAAATGGGAATGAAACCGTTCATTCTTCGCTTTCATAAGCCTCACTGATAGGAATAAAAAGCAAATACTTAGTATCCCTGTCGCCCTAGGCCGTTCTCTGTGGTGGACTAAAATGTCAGCGTATACAAATCTTCCATGCAAAAGAAACGTGATTCAGCCTAATTCAATGTCGAAATTAAGTAGACAATTTAGTCGTACTTGGAATGTTCGCTCAGCTTCTGAAGCTCGTATCAAGTTTGGACTTAAATTCTCATAGAAAAACTCAGAAGCATTAAAAGACAAATATTTGCAACCTTAAAACCTTTCAGCCCTCAACCAGCCACTCTGTCACAGTTTCACTGTTGCCACTGCAACACAGCTCGCCTTCGCTCATGGAAAGCTACCCCACAATGCGAATATCTGATTATGNCACTCTGATTCACAGATTCACTGTTGCCACTGCAACACAGCTCGCCTTCGCTCATGGAACGCTACCCCACAATGCGAATATTTGATTATCTTGCTTTGAATTGCGAATCGTTTTAGTAGCTTTAGTACCACCCACCCCTTCCTTCCCGCCGCACACTCACTCCACACTCTTTTGCCATGTAATTAATTTTGTGGTTGCCATTGCATTCCGCACCGAGGCACTTCACACCTTTTTCTTGCACTTAAGTGTTGCTGCCACTTCATGTGGCACTAATGTGCATAGAGAAGCGAAAAAAGCGTAGCTGAAGCACGAAAAATGAAAATGAAGACAATAACGCATTGTATAGATTAAGTGCATAAGTAAGCAAAAAAAAAAAACAAAACAACACAGCGCAGCCGGGCCGGTTACAAGCTTTCTGAAGAGTTACCAAAAAATGAAAATCTCAACTCACCACCGCTCGTCCGCCCAGCTAAGCGGCGCATTCAAGGTGTGTGGCATGGCCGATGTGCTGCAGCCAGCCTCCCCAAAGAGACGCATGTTAAAGCGTGCTTAACTGCACTGATGAAATATTGGTGGCTTCTACTGGTTCTTTACGAACTGTTTCGATACTTCTTCTCAATCTTTCTGTCTTATTTTGTGGAGCGTAGATTAAATAGAGTTGTTGTCTACGGAAGTGGCCGATGATAAGTATTTTACTCTAGCGGCATTCTATGCGTGTCCGCTTGTATGCGCGTAGCTTAATTTTTACTCCTCCACTACTGCCCTGCCACGCTGGTGGTCCGACGTGATTAAATCGTCTATCGTTGTATTTATTTTTTATTGTTGCAACGCAATCACAAATTGAAGGTGAACAACGTTGAGGTGACACAAGACATTTTTATGGATGCCAATAAACTGTTGCACCGCAGTCGCAAAGGGAAGGAGGAGAAAGGCAGTGTGAGCTGTGTGACTAGTGTGAGACGCGGCGGAAGCGACGCATGTTGACTCATTCGAGGTGTGAAAAATATGTGGCATTGTGTGGCGTGCGCGAAAGCGTCTTAGGAATGTATTTGACAGCGAATGAAATTCCTTTAAATTGACAAGCAAGAAAATGTGAGTTGAAAGCGACTTTGTTGAAGAGAGATTTATTCACGTGATTTTCATGAAATAAAATATTATGTTCAAGAGAAGGCCGACATTATTCAAAGAATTAGAGATAATTTATGCACAACAAAGGAGACTTTCGCTTAGAAATATCCATTTGAAGAGACTTGCTCTGTGATATTTAGAGCTAAGAAAATAACAAAAAGAGGTGTGCTTAGCGCGATCCATGCTGAGAAAGAAGTCTGATAAGGAGTTGTGGTGATCGCCGAAATAGCAGCTACAACTTCACAGCATTGCAAAGGGTGGTTGGTCAAATTGAATAAGCCTTGAATGAAGGAGAATATGCGATGGGCGTATTCCTCGACGTAGCGAGCGCTTTCAACAATATTTCAGCCAATTCTATGTTACAAGGGGTTGAACTGGTTGGGAGTAACATAACCCTAAGAAACTGGATACGCAAGCTACTAAGTTGCTGCATAGACTCAGCCAAATGGAGTGCAGCAACTTCGCGGAAACAAGTAAACGTAGGGACTCCACAAGGGGGGTTCTATATCCCCTCCCATGGTCGTTAGCAGTCAACAGAATACTTAAATATTTTGAAGGCAAAGCGAAAAAATAGCTGCTTATCCGGACGATATAGCAATTATGCTTTGCGGAAAATGCCTCAACACGATGGGCTCCGTGATAGGCCAGGCACTTCGCGATATTTATAAATGGTTGAAGGAAGTAGGCCCCAGTGTAAATCCGGACAAAACAGACCTGGTGCTCTTCACCAGGAAGTACGAAATTCAGGAATTGAAGAAAGCCTCAAAAGGCGCGATCTTAACACAGAAAAATCACATGAAATACTTAGGGGTGACACTGACTAACGACAGTATGCCAAATGTAACGGCGAAACAGGTTGCTCTTTCTGCATGTAAAAAGATGCTGAGCAATACTTGACACATTGGACATTCAATGCGATTGCGAAATCGGTATTATTCTACGGAGTACTATTGTGCTGGACAGCAAAATGTATTGATAGAATGGGCTTTTACTATCCAGCCAGTCCTACCTAACCTAACCTCTGATCTCATCTATGATCTAAGAAAATTCCAACTGGGGGTTCTATTGTTTATTCTCGACATCGCGAAGTTTCCTTCGCTGGCAAACGGAGTTTCACTGAAAGTCGGGTTTGAGCTTAATTGCCACCCATCGCAGACGAACAGCTTGCGGCTTGCCTCGAGATACCTGCGTAGCACTGATGCAATTAAGGTCTGTTTACTTTTGCAGGTTAGACTTCTTTACATGATACGCGCTCTCTCTTTACTTGCTCTCTTAAGCGCACTCAGCTAACACTCTTTCCCCTTTTCCTTTTCGGCAGGCCCTTTCGTAACATTTTGTTGAACTTGTCGTCAACGATTGATGGGATAATTGACTTAGGCAGAGCTAAGTAGTGCCGTTGCAACAAACACTAAAACCATTTCATATGCAGCCAGCATCCGGGATTTTAAAAAATTATTTAATAAGCCACTTGAGAAGTGCACAACCCTATTAAGTAGACGAATGCAATGAAAAATTAAAGCACAAATATTTTTTTTTGCATACTTTTAAGCACGCTATGCAAAATATTTCATAATTTTTTAGTAGATAAAATACAGGTCCCTGTTACTCCTATTTCTTTCATACATATTTTAACTGAGCTATTTTAATTAGCCTTTTTATTGAGTGCATATGTAGGGATATCTTCTCCACTTCAGCGCAGACTGCTTCTTTAGCTCATCTCAAACCCATTTCCATGGCACTCAGCTGCCATTAACTCCTCTTCGCAAGTTGCAACCTTTCCACTCTTACTGCAACACACTTCTGCACTTAAGCGCAATCTTCCGCCGAGTGCTTCACATTTTCGCTTGCCACATGCTGTGTTTGCAACATGCATGCTGCCGCAGGCCAAAATTGACCATTAAATTAAGTTGTCCGCCGCCATATTAATGAACTCGCAAAGTGCTCGCTTCCCACTTACGGTTAATTACAGCAAATCAAAGTTTTTCGCCAGTGCGCTTAAGTGCCACACTTAATACTTGGCAGGCAAAAAAAAAAGCAAAAGTTTATTCATGCAACAGCATTACATAAGTGCAACATGCAGAAAATTGCCGGTAATTCACGGCACACATACACACATCTCGAGAGAGTCTCGCACGCAGCACGAAATCTTTTTGCTGTCGGACTCATGCAACATGTGGTGTGCTTGTGGCATTGGTGCAGCAAAATATTTGCTGTAACTATAACGTCCATTTGGTTGTTCGCTTTGTCTGTCCTCCATCTCCGTTTGGCTAAATGGCGTGAATTTATTAATTTTGTTATTTAACGCGTAATGGGCGAGTGTTGCTACCACATACATAATATGTACTAACATAAAAAAAAACACAACAACAATGAGTGTAAATTGCGCAATAATTTATGTAAATTAATTAAATAGCGACAGTGCGCGCGGCACAACAGCTAAAAAAAAAAAAACAATGCGCGTTGCTGCCACCGTAAATGTTTTTGTTGCACTAATTGCCAATGCTGTTGGTGGTTGTTTGCGGTCATTTGCGTCCAACGTATTTGTTGCTGGCATTTATTTCGCGTCGCTGATTGACCGCAACGAGAGCTTAGTGTGCTTCCCGCGCGCTTTCGATTTGTTCGCGCTCCTTGCTGCTCTCTCGCTTGGCGTTGCCACCATGCCGCAACATGCAACCAGCCAGCGCGCGTGCAATATGCACACAAATCATCGCGCTCGCCGCCGCCGCCTCGAAAGCTACGACTGTAATTCACTAATATTACACGCGCCGCAACAAGCCACACAACAATGATTACAATAAAGATTAGCAGCGCGCGGCGTTACATGAGTGTGAACATGCAGTCGCATATCTCGCAGATTCACACAGCCACTTGCAGGGCGCGCATTCTATTTTAATTGTCATTGCGTTCGCATTCGCATGCGGAGGGTGTTGACAATGCAAGCGCAAGCGAGGGTAGGACTTAGGTGCCGAGAGGAGGAAGTACGAGCAGCGGAAATAGCAATGAGTGACGCGTATGCATTGTTATTTTTTTTTTTTTATTAATTTTGTTATTTTGCAAGCGCGAACTCCAGCGCGTTCGCAAGACAAACAGCCAAACATTCAGCCAGCCAGTGTTGTACGCGCGTTGCATGCAAGTTGATTGAATTATTATTGAACGCAGACATGACTGTGATTACTGCGATTGTAGTTGTAATTGCAGCCTGAGTATTTTTTGTGCGCGCACATTGTTGTTGTTGCTTTCGTGTGCATTGCTGTTGACTTCGATGCTTCTTTCCATATACTTACATACAAAGTACATATTTTTATTTCCATCTTCTCTTGCGCTATTTATTTATATTCATTACCGTTGTTATTGTTGTGATTTTCATTTTACATATGTTCACATAGTTTGCGTCGTTTTCGTCTTATTTTCTGTATTTTGTAATTTGTTATTTGCTGCTGTTGCCTTTCTACTTAATTAAGTCATTGCATTCGTTATAGCACGGGCGTGATCACATGCGTGGGCCATGCTACTCCCTCGGCGCTCACTCACCTACTATTTATCTCATTCATCCGTTCGTGCATTCACGCAGCGTTTGGTTCGTTTGTCGATTCGCTGGAAAGGCGTGCGAGTGAAGTTGTAATAAATTTTCCTTGGTTGTCGAGGGCCAAGAGTTCGACGTGCTGGTATTTATTTAAGAAATCTGGGAAATTTTCTAGCAAGCGAAATGAAACTTGTACTTTTCTAAAAAAAAAAATATAAAAATACGGGAGTGAATATTTAAATGGATTACTAAAATAATTTATTCCCTCGGAATATCGATAACCGAAATCAATGTCTACACTCGAAAAAAAGTCAGCTAAATATATTTCTCTCATCACATGATTTTGTTATAGGTACCGTATGTATTCAGTGCTCTCTGCTAACCAAGCGACAAACGGTCTTTAGTATAACTAAATGTTGGCTCAAAATTAGTCGGAGAATATCTGACCTACAGTAGATCTGTTGGTTAGGAAAGGATCCATCGTGCAAGCAGAAGGTGGTTGTATTTTTAACTACTCTTGGATAGATGAGCCTCATGTCTGTTAAGCGAGCGCTTGGCGAAAGATCGAGGATGTCCGTAAAAGACCGTAGGTGTTTAAGGAGAACCTGGACTGCTCTGTCGCAGCTGTCAAACTGTTTTCACGCCTGGAGCACATACCTTCAACAATCTATTTGCCCTGACATTTGTCTAACAGTCATATGGCACTTTACTTTTCATTAGTGAAGTGGGGTCGAGTATAGTTGTTGTGCTAGATGTGGAGGTACAGATGGAACGTCCGAAACCTTAATTGGGAAGGTGCCTCTGCTAGGCTAGTTGATGTCTTCGTAGGGACAAAAGCTTACACCACCATCCAAGAAATGCATTGGACGGAGAAAGGCAAGAAATGCCTGCGATCTTGTGATGTCTATGCCATGTAAAGGAATGAAAATTCGGTGTGGTGTTGGATTTGTGGTGAGAGACAGAATCCGTCGTCGAGTACTGTCATTCAAACCGTTGGATGAAAATCTCGTCACAATCGGCACCAAAGCGAGATTATTCAACATCTCGCTCATCTGTGCCCATCTCCCGATGGAAGAGAAAAACAAGGCGTCCAAGGATCTCTTCTATGAGTGCTTGGAGCGCACATATAAGCGCTGGCCCCGCCATGATTCAAAAATCGTGCTTGACGACTTTAATGCCACCGTGGCCAAGGAAGGGATCTTTGGAACTACCGTAGGATGACGAAACGTCCGACAATGGACTGAGGCTGATCGACTTCGCCGGGGCCCGAAACTGGTAGTATGCAGTACTAGGTCCAAGCGTAAAAGGATCCATAAAGCTGCGTGGCTGTCTCCAGACCGAAAAACGAGAAACCAAATCGATCATGTTGTGATAGACGGAAGACATGCTTCCAGTTTTTTGGACATACGTACACTCCGAGGCCCAAACATCGACTCGGACCAATATCTTGTTGCAGCCAACAACAAAAAATATGCGCCCAAAAATGCATGGAAAGCTTAACGTCGAAAAGCTGTGGTCCCAACAGACTGTCAGTGCATTCGTCACTCGCCTCTCACCAAAGAAGTGGTCAGTTTTCTGCGAGCCGAAAGAATGAGGAGTGTCAGGAAGCTACAAAAAAAAATATGCCGCCTACAGAGCCACGCTGCGATCAGGCGCAACGCGGGCTATGGGGGACCGCTATAATGAACTGAAGAGTGGAATTAAGTTTACTCTGCCCAATCCACAAGAAAGTCTACTCCGCGCCAACTACCGCGGTATCAGCCTTCTAAGCATAGGTTACAAGGTCTTATTAAGCCCATTGTGTGAAAGACTGAAGCCCACCGTCAACGCACTGATCAGTGTGGCTGTAGACCTGGAAAATTCACCAGGACCATAGACCAGGTATTCACCATACGCCAAATTTTAGAAATTATCAGCGAGAAAAAGACCAACACTCACCACCTGTTTGTCGACTTCAAAGCCGCTTTCGATAGCATTAAAAGGAGTTGCCTATACGCTGCGATGTCTGAATTTGGAATCCCCGCGAAACTGATACGGATGTGTAAAATAACGTTGAGCAAAACCACCAGCTTCGTTAGAAATGGGAAAGACCTCTGCGAGCCGTTTGCTACCAAAGAGGGTTACAAAGTGGGCAATTCCCTTTCATCCGAGTTCTTTAATCTGATGTTGGAGATTATAATAAGAGCTGCAGAACTGAACCGCTCAGGAAAAATTTTTTACAAGAGTTGGCGTAAGTATGCCGATGACATAGACATCATCGTTAACAAGAACCGCGAAGTCCGTTCTGCCTTTTCCAATTTGGGTAAGGAAGCAAAGCGCATGGGTCTGGTGGTCAACGGGACAAGATGAAGTATCTCCTGTCATCGAATAAACAATCAGCGCATTCGCTACTTGCCATTCACGTCACTGTTGATAGTGATAATTTCGAGTAAGTAGAGAATTTCATTTACTTGGGAACAAGCATTAACGCTGATAGTAATGTCAGCATCGAAATCCAACGCAGAAGCACTTTTGAGAAAAAAGGAGGCCCTCACCACGATGGAAAGAACAATTGAAGAAGTACTAGGCTTCGGTTGGCATTTCCAACTGGCACAGAACGGAAACGGCTGGCGTGCCTTGGACAAAATCGCGTAGACGGTTACAGCGTCAAATAATAATAAGAAGAAGAATAGTACAAATTCCCCATTCATTTCTTCCAAATTGGTAAGCAGCTCTTCGTCTTCTTCGCTATTCCTCTACAACGGTGGACAAATTGAAAAATGTGGTAGATTTTAAGCTTGGTAAATCTACCACAAAAGTGGTATAGTCCACACACTCGTCCAGATGTTTACAACTGGCATGCCTTTTATAGACAAATGCTTTGCAGTTTTCCCTCTCTTTAGCCTTCGGACATAAAAAACCTATTTCATACACCGTTTGAGAAGTGCATAGTGCCCTGTGTGCGAATGAAGTCATAGCTAATGCTACAAACTTTTAGGCACGTTGTTTGGTAGCTGTTTGTCAACAATCGAGGACAGGAAAATAAAGAAGATTATTATAATATTATTACGTTCTCGGTTGCTGTCGAAATCGGCGAAAAAGTTGCACTTCATTCTCATTTAAAATTACCTCGAAATATCTTTGAGCGCATTCGTCGACTTAATCGCACTTCNTGCAGATAAGATATTTTTTGAGCGCCTCAAAGGAAGGAGTGTGTGTAGCAATGAGAGTGGCTGATTTGTGCTTTGAAATTTTTACTCAAAAAATATGTTTTTTTTCTTTTAGCTTCCTAATTTTTGTATTCAGCTGTAATATTTTGGTATTAAGCAGCGGTAGGTTCATATCCAGCTGCAATATTTTGCTATTCAGCGGCAGTAGTTTGGTATTCAGCGGCTGTAGTTTGGTATTCAGCTACAACATTTTGCTATTCAGCGTAGTATTTTGGTATTCAGCAGCGATATTTCGGCATTCAGCAAACTATCATTTTGATGTAGCGGTTTAGGTTTTACAATTTTATTGGAAAGTGGTTACTCAGCTCGAAAATTAGCAACTCAGCTGGTTAGTTTACAAGTCCACGCTCAGTTTTTTAGCTAACTACTAGCACATGTCATATTAAACCCGATTTTTAATTAAATAACATAACTCAGCTTAGGTTCCAAGCTTAGTTATACCAAATACTTTTACAGAGCTCGTATTATTGTAATTCAGCCGGACAATTTTTATTGAAAATAATTTTTTTATTGAAAAAAAATGCATTTGACATCTAACTGTGATATTTTATACGAAAAGATTCATAGTTTTCAGCACCATTATATATGTATATCCTGCCATCGATTTTAGTTAATTCAGCTAATTCAGCACCATGTAATCTACGAGTGGAATGAAATTTTCATTCCCTTATACCTTTTATTCACAACTTAGTGGCATTCAGCGCGACATATTGCTGCTTTGTGTTAGTGTAACACCATTTTTATCTCAAAATTTCGCGTCTTACTTAAAGTAAGCCGGCTTTACCGGCTTAAACTTCTATTTCACATTTCTTTTAATATTTACGCCTCCAATCTGCAAGACTTATGAGTCTTTTATTTACAAAATAGTGCAAACATTCGACAATCAATTCTGTTTGACATTTGCGCACATTGCCAATTCAGCGCTGACACTTTCGCTCGCACATTTTGCCATCGTAAATTTCGGAAACTGACAGCCAAAGTGTCGCCATGGAAGAGAAACTGCATACAATTGTGGCGTTAAACCACCGAACTATACTTGGAGCGGGTTGTTGGAGGTCGCGCATGCGCACGCGCGTGGGCTGAACTTTACGAGCAGCGGCAAGCGGCCCGAAAACTGATTGCTTTACTTTGGTGGGCTTGGTTTCATATATTTTCTTTCCGCGGTTCACTTCCAAGCGAGCGAAAAGCGCAACGCCGCCCGACACAGGAATGTCAAACACATTTGTACAAGTGAATTAACAGCGCTATTTGTTTAATGATAAGCCAGTCTGTATTGGAGGCCGAGCTATGGACGTTTGTGGACACGCTTTGCAGATAAAAAAGATAAAGTACAATAACAAATACAAATTAAATATTTGATTTTGTTTTATGTCGGCGGAAGGCAACGCCCTTTCAGCGTACTTTAGTTAAAAGCAAGCGCGCAACGTTTAAATGCCTTCATCCAGCTTGCAGTCAAAGCCATAAAAAGCGCAAAAGTTAATAAGAATTGAATAAGCTAATCATAGTTGTTTAGAAAATTTCTCACGCGACTCTAAAAACCAAGCAGAAATGCTCGCTCCTATACATTCTGCAAAGTGAGCTCCACTTAGTCGATCGCCGGTCGCCTTTCGCCCAGCGCGTCTATAGCTGCCAATTTGCTCTGTCATGTCCGTCATTTTTCTGGGTCATTTATTGGCAATTTTTAAACAATTTGCAACACCGAATTTCTGTAAGATTTCCTGCTAAGTCACACATTTGTGAGTGAATCGAATCGCACCGAACCTGGGCACACACTTTCAGCGAAGGAAACATATAATTTGCGAACTAAAAAACCTGAAAATAATTTTCAACCAAACAGGAAACAAATAAATCCCTCAACACAGCTGCCAACTGTCGGCAACTGCTACAAACATGCAACAAGCTAAGGAAATGGTGGCACAAATTTGTTTTTGCCCGCAGGTAGCGGCGACTGGAAGGCATCTGACTGAAAGACAGGCAGATAGCTGGGCTTAAGAGACCAAAAAAATTGAAATAAAAATGCGCGCAACAATTTCTTGTATACCATTAAAATTTTGGCCAGCAATTTATTGGCGTTTGTTATTACATAGTTCGTATGCCAATACATATGTATGAATGTACATATTTTTGCGAATTCGATCTAACTCTTCGTTGGTCTGATAAAAATTCCATGCGCATGCGCAACGTGTGGCGACCATTGTTAGGGTGCTTAGCTGCTGCGCAACGCAAACAAATATTTAAATGGGCTACTTGGCTGTATTTTTTTTTTTGGAAGAAACGCTGCTTTTGATCGTTAAATGTCATGCGACTCATAAGT